TAGCCAGGTGGAAGAGGTGGATGAGGCCTTTTTTAAACAATTAACAAAACTATCCAAAGCCCAAGATTTGGTGGTGATGGGAGACTTCAACTATCCAGACATATGTTGGGAAACTAACACAGCGAGGCACAGGCTATCCAATAAGTTTCTGGACTGCATTGGAGACAACTTTCTGTTTCAGAAGGTTGAAAAAGCTACCAGAGGAGAAGCTGTTCTGGATTTGGTTTTAACAAATAGGGAGGAACTAGTTGAGAACTTGAAAGTGGAAGACAGTATAGGGGACAGTGATCACGAAATAATAGAGTTCATGATCTTAAGGAAAGGTAGAAGGGAGACCAGCACAATTGAGGTAATGGATTTCAGGAAGGCAGATTTTGATAAGCTCAGAGAACTTGTAGGTAAGGTCCCATGGGAAGCAAGACTGAAGGGAAAAACAACTGAGGAGAGTTGGAAGTATTTCAAAGGGACGTTGTTAAGGGCCCAAAAGCAAACAATTCCGCTGTGTAGGAAAGATAGAAAATATGGCAAAAGACCAGCTTGGCTTAACAAGGAGATCTTGCATGATCTCAAAATAAAAAAGGAGTCATATAAAAAATGGAAACTAGGACAACTAACAAAGGATGAATATAGGCAAGCAACACGGGAATGCAGGGGCAAGATTAGAAAGGCAAAGGCACAAAATGAGATCAAACTAGCTACAGGCATAAAGGGAAACAAGAAGACCTTTTATAAATACATTAAAAGCAAGAGGAAGACCAAGGACAGGGTAGGCCCACTGCTTAGCGAGGAGGGAGAAGCAGTAACAGGGAACTTGGAAATGGCGGAGATGCTCAATGACTTCTTTGTTTCGGTCTTCACCGAGAAGTCTGGAGGTGTGCCTAACGTAGTGAATACAAGCAGAGAGAGGGTAAGTTTAGAAGATAGGATACACAAAGAACAAGTTAAAAATCACTTAGGAAAGTTAGATGTCAGCAAGTCACCAGGTCCTGATGAAATGCATCCCAGGATACTCAAGGAGCTGATAGAGGAGGTATCTGAGCCTTTAGCTATGATCTTTGAAAAATCATGGCAGACAGGGGAGATTCCAGAAGACTGGAAAAGGGCAAATATTGTGCCCATCTATAAAAAGGGGAATAAGAACAACCCAGGAAACTACAGACCGGTCAGTTTAACGTCTGTCCCAGGGAAGATAATGGAGCAGGTAATTAAGGAAATCATATGCAAACACTTGGAAGGTAATAAAGTGATAGGGAATAGCCAGCATGGGTTTGTGAAGAACAAGTCATGCCAAACTAATCTGATAGCTTTCTTTGATAAGATAACGAGCCTTGTGGATAAGGGAGAAGCGGTGGATGTCATATAGCAGGTAATTAAGGAAATCATATGCAAATACTTGGAAGGTAATAAAGTGATAGGGAATAGCCAGAATGGGTTTGTGAAGAACAAGTCATGTCAAACTAATCTGATGATTAAAGGTCTAGAGAACATGACCTATGACGCTAGGCTTCATGAACTGGGCTTGTTTAGTTTGGAAAAAAGAAGATTAAGGGGGGACATGATAGCGGTTTTCAAATATCTAAAAGGGTGTCACAAGGAGGAAGGAGAAAATTTGTTCCTCTTGGTTTCTGAGGACAGGACAAGGAGTAATGGGCTTAAAGTGTAGCAAGGGAGGTTTAGATTGGACATTAGGAAAAAATTCCTAACTGTCAGGGTGGTCAAATATTGGAATAAATTGCCAAGGGAGGTGGTGGAATCTCCCTCTCTGGAGATATTTAAGAACAGGTTAGATAGACATCTGTCAGGGATGGTGTAGACGGAGCTTGGTCCTGCCTTGAGGGCGGGGGGCTGGACTCGATGACCTCTCGAGGTCCCTTCCAGTCCTATGATTCTATGATTCTATGTTTAATACCAGTAGGTCTTTATAGACTAACAAAACATGTAGATGGTATCATGAGCTTTTGTGAGCACAGTGCACTTTTTCAGCTGACCGGAGTTTTGAATGTAGGATGTGCACATCCTACACTCAAAACTCAGGTCTTAATACCAGTAGCTCTTTATAGACTAACAAAACATGTAGATGGTATCATGAGCTTTTGTGAGCACAGTGCACTTTTTCAGCTGACCGGAGTTTTGAATGTAGGATGTGCACATCCTACACTCAAAACTCAGGTCATCTTAAGAAGTGGGCTATGCACACGAAAGCTCATGATACCATCTACATGTTTTGTTAGTCTATAAAGTGCTACCAGGCCATTTGTTGTTTTTTCCTGTACAGACTAACTCGGCTACACCCTGAAGCTTCAGATTTAAAACTGTAACTCAGATCAGCAAATATGACTCTGCGTACACATACAGAGTAATCTAGGGTGTAAGAAGGTGCCATGGTTACAGTAAATTTTCAGAGGAAAACATCTCTTTTCTTCTTGAAAGTTCATTGCCCCATCTGGAATGTTAACCCCAAAGTTGCCAATGTTGCTAACATCCAAGTATGCAAACATACTTGATCTTTTGTAAATCAGGCTAGCCCTTGCCCGAGATTGAACACAACCTGCCTTCTAATTCCCATCCCATCCTTTGACAACAACCACTTTAGAGAAAGGGTCAGTGTACCCCCTTTAATATCTATAAGTGTTTTTTAACTTCTTACGTGTATTATTGTGACATCATTACATACTATTAGTAAAAGGAGCAAAATCGTGGTGGAGCTTCAGTCATTACCATCCAAATTGCTAGGGGATCCTCATGTAACTGAAACAACCCACAACCCATATCATAGCACACATTCTAGTTGCCAATTGTATGCAGGGCAATACAATAATTTAATTAACAATTTAGTATCACTTCATATTCAGGTAGGATTTTCTTACTACTTGTGGTCCGTTTATAGCTCTAGCATTTCTTATAAAAGAAAAAGCAGAAATAAAAAAAGACCTTTTTTATTGCTTTATCACTTTGCATCATTTCTCCAACACACATACCACACTTTTTTTTCCATCCTTGGTCAGTGATATGAGAATTATTCCTTTTGTAACTTATTTCTTTGTAATTTCTTACAGAATAAAAGTAAGCAATCTACCAAGCCATAGAAATGAAACTATTTATAATACAGAAAGATATATTTTCAGCAGGTGGTAGGATATTAACATGCAATACACTATAAAGATATACTTGCAACATCATTTTCTTAACTAAATTTCAAATTTGTAACAAAATAGTTTGTAGATTTTTTTATCTTCAAAATATTGGCCTGCTCCGCAATGAACAAACAATCCTGCAGAATATTATCAGCTTTTAATACAAAATCAATAATTAAAGTCATCAGAAAGCCAGGTTAGAATGCAACATTTTCCTTGCTAAAGGGAAAAGTAAGATATACTCCATGATTATCAAAGATCCATTTCTTTTCCAGTATATTTCACTGGAAAACAAATTATTGGTATTACAAATATGGCTGTTTTCATGTAACTTTCTAGGGAAAAAATGTGATAAGAGTCCTGATATTTGTTTTCATACATAATTAGGCTTGGAAGGGGGTGTGGGGACTAGAGAGACAATGTGATGCTCTAAATATAGTCTCATTAGGCCATTTGAGCTGCTCAGGATCAACAAAGTATAGGATCAGCCTAGCCATTCTCTGTGTTTCTCTACCATATCCCCTATTCCTTCCATACTTGGTTAATCTGATTTCCCACATACTTAGGATTTGAGTGGTGAATGTGGCTTATTAATTGTAACTGTAAATGTAGAGAGACAATGTGATGCTCTAAATATAGTCTCATTAGGCCATTTGAGCTGCTCAGGATCAACAAAGTATAGGATCAGCCTAGCCATTCTCTGTGTTTCTCTACCATATCCCCTATTCCTTCCATACTTGGTTAATCTGATTTCCCACATACTTAGGATTTGAGTGGTGAATGTGGCTTATTAATTGTAACTGTAAATGTAATTACCATTCACTCATTTTTATTTCCTTATTTGTTTTATATTATCATGTTGTTTATATTCTAATAAGAGTTAAAAAGTATACACATAACTTCCTTATTCCACATCTTATCTTTGATCTGTATCTAGTGAGCCATTTGCTATTATTAATATGGTGAGTATGCTTCACTGTTATTTAGAATCTGGTGGAGTAATTCTTCAAAATGTTTGATATGTTTAATCAATTTATCAGAGCAAATATGGATTGCAATTTTCACTTCCAGGGGATTTTAATGTTATTTATCCTGAAAGTTCTCAAAATGATTGTGCAAAATCTTTGAAAAATATCCACATATGTTTAGATCAGTTTTCTGTCATCTTGGATGTTTATTGGCATGTCAATATTTATTTTATATGTGTAGTTTAATAATTTCATAAACCATTCTATAGCTCAATTTATGAAAATATAGTCCCATGCAGTACATTCATTATCAGGTCAGTGAGTGACACTTGATAAAATAATTAACAAAATGTAATGGACAGTATCTTAAAGAAAAATGGTCTTTCTGATTTAATCTTGACATGAATATGAGCCACAAAAAATAATCTGTTTTCAGGTTCAGAATCCCTCAAAATTTAGGGCTATTTCGATTAGAAGTTTGTTTTCCAGTTCGTGACCATCTCTAATTCAAATACATTAAGTATTGCACATACTAACAGCTGTGATTCAGTCTCTAAAGCTAGATCTACACTATGGGATAAGTTTGAATTAAGATACGCAATTCCAGCTACATTAATTAGCTTAAATCACATTTTGGCACCATCCACACAGCAGTATGACAATGGGAGCAAACTCTCCCTTTGACTTCCTTTACTCCTCATCGGACCAGGACGACCGTTGCTGACGGGAGTTCCCTCTTAGTTTGAATTAGAGTGTCTTCACTAGACCTGCTAATTCACACTCTGGAAGATCGACTGTGGTAGCTTTTATCTTCTCTGTGACATAGACAAGCCCTAAGTGATTGTGTTCTATGCATATTCAAAAAATGTGGTAACATTGTGGTTTTTTTCTCTCCTAGGAGACACTGTATATTTTTCTTCACATGAGGCTCAATTTGAAATATTTGGATAAAATGAGATGCTTGAGGAAACGATCAGCAGTATCATTCTTAGGAGTGCTTGTCATTTGCCTGCTGTTCATGAACTTATACATTGAAGATGGTTATGTCTTGGTAAGTTCCTTAGGTGGAGGGGAAGGGGTCATGGAACAAGCGTAGAGTACATGGTACCACAAGTACTTAGGCAAGTTAGAAACTGCTGGAAGTCAAAATGACAGCTGCAACTCTCTTGGTTTAGTGAGCTGTTCATAGTAGAGTCTCCTCAAAATGTTTCATATTATATACATATGAGAAGGTGCATTAAAATCTTGAGGTTTTCTTCCTATAGAAGAAACATATCACAGTATGTCCCAATATAGGCTTAAGGAACACTGCAGATATTATAACATAAGAACAGCCATACTGGGTCAGACCAAAGGTCCATCTAACCCAGTATCCTGTCTTCCAACAGTTGTGAATGCCTGATGCCCCAGAGGTAGCGAACAGAACAGGTAATCATCATGTGATCCCTCTCCTGTCATCTATTTCCAGACTCTGACAAACAGAGACTAGGGATACCATTCCTACCCATTCTGGCTAATAGCCATCGATGGACCTAACCTCAATGAATTTATCTAGTTCTTCTTTGAGCCCTGTTAAAGTCAGGTATTTAGTAAGTTATCAAGTAAGGTATCTAGCACACTGTGGAGCCATACTTCTTGAATATTCTCCATTTTAGTTACACAATTATCCCCATTTTGCATGTAATTTGATTCCCCTCATTTTGATTACTGAAAATTGTTTACTTCTGAGATAATCATGTGAGCTAAAAACCCCAGGCTCAGTCCTTGCTGACAATGACACACCCAGGCATGTGGCATTACAATTAATATGACAGAAGACTCAACAGGAATTAATCCCACATCATCTTAATTTTCTTTCATTAATATTTATTTTTCTGTCTAATTCTAAGTGTCTGTCTTGCCATGTGTCCTATGTTTGGGCTTTGGCACGTGAAAAGGTATGATTGGAAGCTCAAAATTTTCATGGTACCTATTGTAAACATATGATTTATGGGTAGGATTTTTTAAAGCACCTGAGTTAGCTGCTTCAATCACTAAACTAGTGATAATGAGCCATACAATGTCAAATGTACGCTAAATTGAAATAGTGATTTTAAAAAAAGTTAACAGGTAGTATTGTTATATTATCAGGGCTAGCCAAGCCTTTTTCAAGTAATCCAAAAGAGAATCCATGTTTTCTGCTTTACCACTTCACTTCTGATATATCACTTCCTCTAGTGACATTGTTTGCACTGAGGTTTTGTTCAGTATCTGATTTATTCATCATCTCCTGGTTGTGATAAAATTTGACCTGGCTTCTAGCATATTTTCTCCCACTGGCACTCTCCTTGATGCCTCTCATGCTTCTGCTAATTGCTTCAGATTCCCCCCAGATGCTTCTGAAAGTGCTTTTGTATTGTTGCTGAACCTGCTTCTTTTTTGGTTTGTTTTTTAAACCCTTTTCTGTCTAGTTCGCTGACTCTCTTGATGTCTTATTCTTAATTTGTCTTTTTTTTTAAAAGAAACATTTACTTTCTTTCATTGTTTCTCACATCACAAATCTGACATGTCTCAGCTCATGTAGCTCCCAGCCAAGTCTTTTACATTCTGCTGACAGTTTTTCCATATCTCCTGATACCTTTATGGTCCATCAAACATTTTTCAAATGTGTAAGGCTGTTGGCTCTTTTCTTTTCTTTTCTTTTCTTTTCTTTTCTTTTCTTTTCTTTTCTTTTCTTTTCTTTTCTTTTCTTTTCTTTTCTTTTCTTTTCTTTTCTTTTCTTTTCTTTTCTTTTCTCTAATCAAGTTTGACAGCTCCTCTAGTCCAACTAATGTTTTCAAAGCTAAGGAAGAAGATCAGCAGTATAAATGTGAGAAGATTAGAAATAATATCTCGAAGAGCCTATTTGCAAGGGAAAAAAAGACATGTAGGGAACTGGAAACTCACAGCAAGGCTCATCCCGAGTCCATATGTGTGGAGTAGCACTTACTGAAGCTTTTCTGCTAGCCATTGCCTCTGGAAAGTCCCATCAATCATTCCCCACTCACCTTTCTCAGATATCCAGTCCAGTATAGGAATAAAGCTGTAATTCCCCTTCCTCCTCCCCACATCCAGTGTGAAGTTCTTAGCATTTTTCCTTTACTTGTATTGTGAAAAGATGGCTTACACATTCAAGTGCCAGAACAGTTAGTCCCAATGGGTGCGTCTACTCTGCAATTAAACATACATGTCTGGTCTATGTCACTGGACCCACATTCACAGGACTCTGGCTGAAGGATTGTAAAAGGATTGCAGCATAGATGTTCAGGAGACCCATGAGGGGCAAGGATCCCAGAACTGGCGCTCCAGCCTGAGCCCGAACATCTATATTGCAGTTGTAGTGTTCTGCACCCGGAGCCCAGTCAGGTAATACAGGCAGGGATGTTTAATTGCAGTTTAGACACAGACAGGGGTGTTTAATTGTAGTTAAGAGTGTAGGACAGTACCTGGGGCTATAAAGTGCTAGACAGTTAATAAGAAAGGAGGAGCAGGAGGAGTAGGGAGTCCCCTGGGATGGGAAATAGTGGGAAACTGCTGGGGAGAAAGCCTGGAGGGGAGGAGCGGTATTCAGCTAAACAAAGCAAGAAAGAACCCTGCAGGAAGGACTGAAAGAGGCAAAGGGGAATATCACCTTGGAGTTTGTGAGCCAATGGAAAAGCTGGGTCTGTGTTAGTGTTTGCAAAACAAAGCCATGCTTAAGAAGAGAAGCTTGGAATGGCATTGTGTCCTCGTAGGCTAAAGACAAACCAGTGACTTACCTAGACAGTTTTTTTTAAGTGTGAAAAATATGGATATTGGAGCTTTACCAATTTGGTTTGGAATCTCTTGTATGTCTTCAGTAGCATCCACTCACTACCGCTGCGCAAAAGTGTTGACTGTCCTGTGATTGTTGGAGTGGGCACTGAAATCTCCATTTCATCACGGGAGCCCACTGGGGAATAGTGCAGCAAAGACAACTTTGCTAAAAGCAGCCTGAGTGGTACGATGGCAGTTCGCGTATGTGATGTGCAGTGCTGATGCACATTGGCAGGGGAATGTGGGGATGCTGAAATTGCTCCATGTGCCCTGATGCTGATCAATGGGTCCCAGAAACTTCCATGAACACTGAATTCACCTTAGCTGGATTTCAGAATGTGCATGGCTCAGTGCTGACTTTAAGCATTTACTATAGGTTGCAAGTGCTAGGGAGAAGGGACTGTATCTTTCGATTTCTATAGTAAATGTGAGTACCCTTTGGGGCACTATGAAAGTAACAGCAATATTGCATATAGGGATGGATCCTCTGAGGAGCAAAGTGTCTCTTGAGAGGTAATTAACCCCCTCAGTTTCCAGAAATGGTACGGGAATCTCACAAGGTCAAACAAATGTAGCACAAAATGTGTATGTTCCTGCCTGCCTGATTGCCTGCTTCTTCCCCCTACACTTACTTTCTTCTCTGGGTAAATACTTAATGACAAAATACAAGAGCCATCTCAGAAAATCAGGAAACTGAGTAACCAGAGGGGCTAGTGGATCAGCTGTATGAGTATCCATGAGTCCATTGACTTACATTCTCAACTGGAAAAATGATAAGCATAAAGCTTTGTTTCATAACTTATCAGTAAATGCAAGGTAGCCAAGCAGCATTAGAAAGAAATTACCCCGGGAGACCTTGCAGAACAAGAGAGCATAGCAGTTCAGGTAGCTGCATCTGGATTTTAGCCAATAGAACTTGAATCAACTAATAAATGGATTATTTATTTCTTCTATAAAAGAAAAATAGAGAACTTAACATGAACCTAAAATAGGTTTCTGGAAGTGTTTCTTACTGTTATAAAAGAAAAGACTTTATACATCCCCAATTTTGAACCTTTATAACATCAAAATACATGTTTCTTTTTGTCCTTTCCACTCTTGATAGCAGTATTATTGTGTATTGCATAGTGCTCTCTTTTAGTCAAAGCTCAGATCACTTGTGATGCATTAATGGAATGTATCACAGCACACATGTGAAACTGCCAAGTAATTTTCTTACTCCTCTCAGGTCCTACATCACTGAATAAGTGACAAGGAGTCCTGTGGCACCTTATAGGCTAACAGATTTATTGGAGATAAGCTTTCATGGGAAAAGACCCACTTGGTGCCACAGGACGCCTTGTCACTTTTGCAGATTCAGACTAACACGGTTTCCCCTCTGATACTTTACATCACTGAATGTGATCGAACTAAGATTCCTAACTGTAACATCATCTCCATGGCACCACAGCTTTAATGGAAAATTTTCTTCTTTGCTTAAACATTAAGAAGAGACAGTTGGTGCGTGTGGGGCACAGTGTATGCCATGGTGGTATGGAGAGCCTCCGCTCAAAGAGAAACGGGAGGGATGGGAAGAAGGTACGGCCATAATCTTACCTTACCCTGCCAAAAAAGCAGACTGACGCAGAGAAACACAGTGGATGAAAGCACCAGCATCCTTCACCATAGTACAGCATGTGTGCTTCCCCTGCACATCAAGGATCAGAGGAGGAGTGGGCCATATTCAGGAAAGTGCCAAAGTGAGTCTTGCTTTAGCTCTGAGAATATTATTTCATGTTTCACCTGCAGCAGTTTTTTAATCTCTCAAAAATGTGTTAAAAATTTCCCCACTGTACTGTCTAGGGGGAGTAAGTCTTACTTTGAATATAGCAGCATTTTTCTGATGATACTATAGTACTCTCAATTCTTCTAGACAGATAGATCTTCAATGTTTTTTTCCTCTCTTTCCCCATTACTCTCAATCTGAAACTATAGGACACATTTCTTGTAACCAACAACATATAATATTCAGATAATGGATTTTAAAAATAAGGTGAGATTTAAATGTTTTTTTTTCCAGAAAACTATGACAAAGATTATTCTTTGAAATGTGTCTGACCCTCTTGTCTCTTTGGCTGGCATTCATGAATTTATTTCTCTCCATGTATTCTTGCTCCTATGCTCGCTCTTCCTTTCTTTCTCCTTTCATCTTACTAGGAAGGGGACAAGCAATTAATCAGAGAAACAGCCACACACCAGCTTAATTCAGAACGCTACGTTCACACTTTTAAAGACTTGTCAAATTTCTCAGGATCTATAAATGTTTCCTATCGCTACTTAGCTGGCACACCTTTGCAAAGGAAAAGTAAGTAACCAGAATCTTCATTTAATTAAATGAAGTAAAATGTTACCTCAGATGTTTTCTTCAGAAATGGCTGAAATCATTTGAAATCATGAGTTATTTCATTTTAGAACTTTTCTGAAAAGTCTATTAACCCATGGTGAAATTCACAATGCTGCCTGTTCCATAGAATTCCCATGGTACTTTTGCACTGGGATGATATAGGGTAACAATGAAAGTACACACTTGGGTCTCCATGGATTGAAATGCTTAGAACCTTTGGGCCCTCACTTGTGTGGATCCTGTTGCTGAGAACAAACATGAATAGGGCATGCAGGTCATTCCATAAGCTGGGACATAGAGGGATGCAACCCCAGCACTATAGCCTACAAAGGTGGTTGATTTTCCTGCACTCAGGTAGGACTGTTTCAATTAGTCTGATTATTCTTGCTTTATGCAAATGATCCAATGAAAAATATTGCCTCACCCACCTCATGTCCTGGGTCTGGGTTGCAATGTAAATTTTAATTTAAATAAAGTTTGAGAAGTTAGGGGTTAGAAAGGCAGTGCTGACAATGGGGGTGTTTGTACTACAACTCCATTTGGAGTAGACAGCCTAGCAGAAAGCCACAGACCACCACGTTGGAACATGATTACAATATTTCGCCCATGTTCACATTTTTTGCAGCATTTTGCAAGTCAAAATATTGACAAAGAGTTTTGGTCAGCTAGAGTGGAAATGAAGCACTTTAGCTTTAACATGGTCTCATTTTTACATAAAACAGGGAAGGACAAACTGAATTTTTTAAAAGTGGCTCACAAGTCCAACAGAGATTGCATTCCATCCAACCATCTAGATTCTAATAATAGATTCGGAATACTTTTTCACGAATATTAGAAAGAATTAGGCCCATGCTGTATGCACGGGAAGTGCTATTTCCAAATACCGTAGAAGGTCATACAATTGAAAGTCAAATCTCACCCCAAAGATTTTAAATGGACTAAAAATTATTTATAGAACCACAAATTTTCAATGGTAAATTCTATTATATTTTAAGCAGAATCTGACTTACTTGTCTCAAATCTAGTACTTCTATTTCTCAAGAAAATAAAGGAATTTTGTAAATAGGAAAAATGAGAGAATTGGGAAACATTTTAAAACTGAAAAAACTAGAAGAAATCATCCATGAAGAGTTTAGAAGTCCGTAAAACTATGTATAAATGTAATTAAGCTTGTTACCATTAAAAAGTAAAAGCAAGGCAATTAATCTTTAACTCCTACTTTTGTGCTATTTTCATAGTGGCTTGAGCTAAAGAACAATTTGTGAGCCATAGCTTTTCAGTCCCATTTCTTTATAGAATTGACATTGTCTATATGTATTTCTTTTTTTCTAATAGGGATATATGCATACATCACTTTGGCTTTATTCCATTTCACAACACTTCTTGCAGTTAACAAACTAATGTTTAATTCAATAGTCTCCATATGTCAAATTGCTTGCCACACAATCCTTCTTTCGTGAAAAAGCAGAGAACAATCTTCTTTTTTTTCGTACAGCTTAATACATTTATATATCAAACATCTCAGACTTCATAATTCAGAAGGTTTATTTAATATACTGGAGGTCTGGAGGTTAACTTTCTTGCAATATGATTTTCCAAGTCTGATTCACTTTCAGTTAATCTTTGTGTCTGAATTTTCTTTTACACAGGGTATCTTACAATTGGACTAGCCTCAGTCAAACGGAAAAAGGGGAATTATTTGCTCGAGACGATCAAGTCCATATTTGAGCAGTCAAGTTATGAGGAACTGAAGGAAATTACGGTGGTGGTTCACCTAGCAGATTTTGACTCATCCTGGTGTGAAGGGATGGTCAAGGATATTTCACAGAAATTTGCCCATCACATCATTGCTGGCAGGTTAATGGTTATCCATGCCCCTGAGGAATACTATCCAGTACTAGATGGCCTTAAGAGAAATTATAATGACCCAGAAGACCGCGTGAAGTTCCGATCCAAACAAAATGTAGATTATGCTTTTTTGCTTAACTTTTGTGCTAATCTTTCTGATTATTATGTCATGCTAGAAGATGATGTTCGATGTTCTAAAAACTTCTTGTCTGCCGTTAAGAAAGTAATTACCTCGCGAGAAGGTTCCTATTGGGTGACTCTAGAGTTTTCCAAACTGGGCTATATTGGAAAGCTGTACCATTCCCATGACCTTCCACGCCTGGCTCATTTTTTGCTCATGTTTTACCAGGAAATGCCTTGTGATTGGCTGCTGATCCATTTCCGTGGGTTGTTAGCTCAGAAGGATGTAATCCGTTTTAAACCATCCCTGTTCCAGCACATGGGATACTATTCATCCTACAAAGGAGCTGAGAACAAGCTAAAAGATGATGACTTTGAAGAGGATTCATTTGATATCCCTGACAACCCACCTGCAAATCTTCATACAAACATGAATGTATTTGAAAGCTATGAAGCAAGCAAGGCTTACAGCAGCATTGATGAGTACTTCTGGGGCAAAGCTCCTTCTACTGGAGATCTCTATGTGATTGTATTTGAAAAGCCTATTAAAATCACTAAAATTAAAGTTATCACTGGAACAGAAGACCGACAGAATGACATCCTACATCACGGAGCCCTGGAAGTAGGGGAAAAAATTGTAGGGAGCAAAAAAGGGAGGCAGTGTACTACTTATTTGAGACTAGGGGAGTTCAAAAATGGAAATTTTGAAATGACAGATGTGGAGCACAAAGTTCTCTTTGATATTAACTGCATGAGAATACTTGTTACCAAAAGTCAAAAGGAATGGCTGATCATTAGGAGCATTAGCATTTGGACATCTCAGCAATCAAATCAATGAGACAAAATTACTGATGTCCTCCTTCTTTCATAGTAGAGTGAATGCCATCGGTTGAGTCCTAACTGGTGTCATTCCCTAAACAGACTGACTGGCTGACTTCCAATTACTTACTACTGACACTGGAAATCTGGGACTATTATAAAAAACAAGCAAAAGCAATTTATTTTTTACTCGTCCACCAGGCAATATACAAACACTAGTTTGTTGGAATGTTTGAATTTTATAGGAAATGTAAACAAGTTCTCATCCATCTCTTAAGATTCAGATACCTTATTCTTTTATTTTCATTTCTCCTTTGGGAAGAAGTGCTGTACTAAACAAAGCCAATGCTTTTTCCATTATTCAGAAGTTTCGTAGGCTTTGACTAGTATGTTGTCAAATGAAATTTGACTCTATCGTATCCACATATAAATTAATAATCAGATGGTAGTACATGTTTGTACAATAGTTGGTGCTGTATTTGTTTGAAAGACACTTGTGATAATGAAAGTTTGTTAATGGAGCTTGCAATTTCATTTGAGCACTGTAAGAAAACAGTGTGGTTAAACATTGCGACTTATTTTAAATGAAAATACATGTACAATTATAAATCTGACATAATAATACTGTAAAAATAGATAACTGCATCCACTATCCTGTCTCAGAAAATATGCTTTGTTCTTCTCCCAGAGTCCTGGCATTGAAGTGGGTCACTAGTTGTATTTTCTGTCAGTTGGGACACAACTCTGCAATCCTAGTTCAAGCACTTACACAGTCAAAGGGAGTTTTGGTTGAATAACAACTGCAGGATCAGCCCCTGAGCTTTAAGGATAAAATTATCCTCTTGGATTTGTCTGATTGTAGTTTTTATCTTTAATATTCTTTTCTTCCAGTACATTCAGCATTCCCAGTGATGTCAGTGGGGGGACCTGCACAAAGCTGAACGCTACTGTACAGTCTGGGAGAAAAAATTTGTACTCAGTGTTTAGATGTCCATCTCTTGTCTGATGCAAATTAAAGATCTCTAAGGTTCTGCAGTAGAGGCTTAAGGTGATAAATGATCCTCCCTGCTTGATGTCTATGCAATAGAGCTGTGAGAAACATTTCATGCCATTTGCAAAAACAAGAATACTGATTTTGCTGAATATGTGGGAAGTAAATAATTTGTCAAGTTAGTTTTGAATTTTTTCAGATTTTTCAGTGCTGAATAAATTTGCTTAGGAGTCATCTTTTCACAGATGATGTGTTGGTACTACAGGTTGGACCTCTCTGATCCGGCACCCTCGGGACCTGACTGCTCCCGAATGAGGGGATTTGCTGAGGGTCCTTCCCCTACTAGTCTGTGCTGCCACTGGGTTAGGGTTCCAGCTTGCCTCCGCTGCTTCCACAGCCCCCCAGGACTATCTAAATGCTGCTGACTCTGCTGCTGCTGGGACGGAGCACCATGGCTGGAGCTCTGCAACCAGGGCTGTGTCCAGACTCAGGGGTTTTTTCGAAAAAAGTAGCCTTTTTTCGAAAAAACTTCACCTGCGTCTAGACTGCAGCCGCGTTCTTTCGAAATTAAATCGAAAGAACGCGGCTTTTCTTTCGACGGCGGTAAACCTCATTGCACGAGGAAGAACGCCTTCTTTCGAAAGTTCCTCTTTCGAAAGAAGGCGTTCTTGAATGTAAATAGGGCTTCTTCGAAAGAGAGCATCCAGACTCACTGGGTGCTTTCTTTCAAAAAAGCAAGCCGCTTTTTCGAAAGTTCCGCGTGCAGTCTAGACGCTCTCTTTCGAAAGAGGCTCTTTCGAAAGATACTTTCGAAAGAGCCTCTTTCGAAAGAAGCCTGCAGTCTAGACATAGCCCAGGGCTTCACATCTGGGGCAGAGGAGCTTCGCAGCCACCTGACTCCACGACCAGGCCTGGAGTTGTGCAGCCAGGGCTGGGGCAGAGGGCCGAGGCCAGAGCTCTATGGGTGGGGACAGGGCCCCCTGGCCACTGTTGGGGACAGCACTCCCTACTTTGCCTCCCATTCCTTCCTCCCACCACACACACACACACACTGGGTTGCTGGTGCCCCTAACATATTCCTGCCCCACTGCCAGACCTCCCTTTTCCTGGGCTCTATGGTTCAGAAATATCTGTGGTCTGGTATGGATCACAGATGTTGCCGGACCAGGGAGTCCCAGTTAAGGGATGTATAACCTGTATATGTATATACTATCTAGGCCTGTTCCTTTGAGGTACTGAGCACCTATTCACAGGAACTCCATTCCTACTGACTTCAGTGGGTGTTGTGAGCTTTAACACTTCACAAACTCAGACCCCATATGTACACAATACATGCTATATAAGCACATCTGGATTATCAAATAAAATAGGAAATCTTGTCATTCTTAAGGCATTCCAGAAACTTTTTTTAAAAGTACTGGAAGTTACAGGAGTATATCAGTAGCCACACAGATGAACACTGTATTACTAGTCTCATGAATATTGCGGTAATCAATAAATCACATGTCCTGGTTTCAGCTGAATCTGGGAGGTAAAGATTAAATTTCAAGAATGCCTGTACTGACCAAAAACTCCAAGTAGAAGTGAACTAAATATTGTACTCTGCCTACCAGCAAACCTGGCAGGGCTATTTCAAAAGGCCAGATTATTCACAGGTCTACAAGAAGCAGCAATCTAATTGCTTTTCCTGATTCATAAATCCTGCTAAATTCAGATACAGGTTTGGCAAATCCCTACTTATAACAGCAATGTACTTTAAAGTGGATGGTCTTCTTAAATACTTTTACGAAGCTCACAAAAGTGTCCCCTTCCCAAAGAGAAGAGTCTTTGTTTTTCTTGTTTCTTAATACCTATCTAGAAGCCTAATCTCTGTGAAAATAAGACATTTTAAATAGTGTGGCTGTTCAATGTCAGACACCACTGCAGTTTAGCTCAATTAAAAATACCCACTAAGCTTAAGCCAATACTTATCTAAATATACATGAAAGACTTATATTTTAATTTTTTCCCATGGTAACCAGCTAATTTTATGGTCAACCCTAATACCCCTTTAAATATACAATAATTTCTTCTTTTGCTTCATTGGTAATTTACCATTAGTGACAAATTTCAATAAGGAGCACTGAATACCTCAAAGCTGATGGAGAAACTAGCTTCCTGGTTATATATATAAACATGCTGTTTCCAAAACAAATACATACTGAATTAGGACAGATAATACATACAATCCCAAGGTTTAAGATGCCCATTCAATTTGAATCTTTTAGAATAGTTAAATGTTCTCTGCACAAATGTGAAATAATTTATTTAGTATTTTAAAGCATAAATAGTAAATATTTTTAAAACCACGTATAGAGCTGTGCTCACCATGAATCTTGCCATTAAAAAAGCTGGGGGAAAGCACATGTTGCTGTGTTTATTGAAAAACAAACTATTTCACAGTTATGGCAACAATTTTGGGCGGTTGAAATATATCTTGGTATAGAAGAATAGCACAAATGCCCTCCCATCACTTAAATCCCACTTCAAACCCTATTTTCACTGCTTATGTGGGACTAATTTTATTCCTTTGCATCAGGATGAACTTCATGTTTGTGAACATGACTGACAAATTTTACACGTGAAAGAATATATTTCTGCTATGAATATGATGACTTTTCCCTCTGGAAAAAATGTACAAGTTTTGCCAAGTTTAGAATTTTGCCATCCATGCTGTGAAAAGCTGTTTCTTAGCAAAAAGGATAATATTGACTGAAATTGGTGAATTCTCACCAGCATTCCCCAAAATACTGGATTTTCTTGTTTTCACCAGCGACTTCTGATGAAGCAAATAATTGGTATTTTCACATAGCTCTATTCACTGGTGAGTACAGATGTACCTATGTTTTTATTATTGTGTGTTTCTTATGCGAATTTGTGGATCAAATGTCCAGTTTGCTTGTAATGAAATGGAAATGTAGAACCATTTAAAATATGATACTGTACTTCGCTTATTAATAGAGTTATTTTCCACTGAGCATATATGTATAATCCACTGGCATTACCTGGAGTTGCAAATGTGTGTCAAAGAGGAAAATACTTCTTAGAATGTAAAGCCCGTGGGGTTTTTTTCTTTAATAAGAGTTATGTTTCCATCCTTATTCAAGGTGGACAATCCCTTTGGTGACTGGTTGAGGAGGAAAGCAGTAGTTAATGTGAGTAAGGGAGGAAAAAACCTAACCTTAATTTACTGAAGTTTATTCTACAAACCCAAGAGGTTGGCTGGTTATACCATGTCATTCTTTATTCCTTGTACTGTATATACTTTAATTATGAGACTTTACTAAGGTGCTATAAGAATGTATTGTTTTTATGTCAGTCTGATCTCATATGATCTGTTTTAGAGTTTAGCCAGTTTTCTGTTGTGTTAGGCACAGATAATGTTTTGTTTTGTTTTGTTTTTTTAAGAAAGCAAATGAAGATCCTGTTCTTAGCTGGATTAAAAAGGAAATCAAAATTAAAGTCCTTCACCTTGGAAAACTCTGAAAAGGAACACAGATATCTTTTTATCTGCAGATACAACCGGCCTTCATTTTGAAATGTTTTACCAGTCCTGGTGGAATTGCCATCACTGACTGATTGCAACTGACATTTATGTTTGTGAGTTCTGCATGTTTGAATGAGTTAGAAGTTAAGAGCAGTGACCCGTGCTATGTAAAATGAGGTGATGTAAAATGGCACTTTTTCATATGGGACCACAGCAGTACTTCACAACAACCAGTTGGGATATACGAGGGGATTCCACTGAAAGTAATTATGATAATGGCATAGAGAGTACCTTTAAAATATTTGTGGATGATATTCAGCTGGGAGAGGTTACAAATGCTTTGGAAGATAGGATTAAAATATCAAATGATTTGGACAAACTGGAAGAATGGGATGTAAATAGGATGAAATTAAATAAGGACAAATGCAAAATACTCCACTTAGGAAGGTACAATCAGTTGCACACCTACTAAATAGGAAATGACTACCTAGGAAGATAGTCAGAAAGGCATCTGAGGGTCATTATTGGACCACAAGCTAATTATGAGTCAACAGAATAACACATTTGTACACACACACACACAAAACCTCAAAACAAAACAAAGCTTTTGTTCAAAATGTTGTGCTGACAGCAGGCTGAAAGAAAGTGGCCCAGGAACCCTGTAAATAGCAGTTGTCTGCTGAGAAGTAGAGTGTTGTGTCCAGAAGCAGCCCTAGATGAGCTGCCAGCAATTGGCACCCTAGGTGAAATGCGCGATTGGCACCCCTGCCTACAAAGCTCTCAATGGCCGTTTATCTTGGTGCCCCAGGTGACCACCTAGTTCACCTGTATTGATGGGCTGCCACTGGTTGTGTCTAATTCTGGGTGCCACATTTTAAAAAAATGTGGAAAATTGGGAAAAAGTCCAGAGAAAAATAACAAAAACAATCAAAGATCTAGAAAACATGACCTATGAGGTAAGACTGAAAATATTGGGTTTGTTTAGTCCAAATAAGAGAAGACTGAGAGGGGACTTAAGATTTTTCAAGTAGATAACAGATTGTTACAAGGAGGAGGGAGAAAAAAAATTGTCTTTAACCTCTGGGGACAGGACAAGAAACAATGATCTTAAATTGTAGCAATGGCGGTTTAGGTTGGACATTAGGAAAAACTTACTGTGAGGGTGGATAAACACTGGAATAAATTCCCCATGGAGATTATGAAATCTCCAAAACTAACACTTTTAAGAGCAGGTTAGACAAACACCTACTAGGGATAGTGTAGATAATATTTATTTTTGCCATAAGTGCATGGAACTGAATTAGATTACCTCTCACTGGTGCCTTCCAGTTCTATAATTCTTTAAGTCTATGATTCCTTTTTCTGTCCGATTCCAAAAAACAAATTAAATACCTTCCATCAAAACCACTGTGTCAGCTTTCTAATGTACAGTAAAATAAAGAGTTTGAGCTTCATCTCACTGAAGTGAATTACAAGTTTTCCTTTGACCTCTATGGGATTAGTATTCAGCCTATGAAATAGTCACATTTGGAGGTGTGCTTTAAAGGTCCATAAAGAAACTATTTATGCAGAACTAAAAAATAATAATAATAAATCTATGGTCCTTATTTTTCCATAGCTGTACTGCAGTGCAACATCATTCCCAGCATGCTTGCCTCCAGTGGCTGATTCTTCTAGGAGTTTTAAACAGTGAATCAATTCCAGTGTATCTTGATCTATACTACTATTTCTCAAGTGCCAGTTGGGGGTAGTACTTCTGAAAACAATGCTGTGGATAGAGAAAGGATTGGTACTGCCAAAAATGAAGGTTGAGATGAGAAAGTACTCATCATGCTTGTGGATCACTACTATAAAACTTAAAGAAACTCAAAACAGTTTTTATTTATTATTAGATATTTGCTGATTGTCAAACTGCCTACAAAGGGCCAGGGTGAAATTCACCCATTTACACAGTGGCAGCAAAATGACTAT